GTCATCTGTGTCTGCTGGGACTGATCGTTCTCTCTTCACTTCTCACAGGTAAACACACTTCTACATGCTCTTTAAACTCCTGTGAAAGAGTTCAGTGTATATATGCATACAATAAAGTTTCATTTATTAATATGTAGTATAATTATCACTCATATGTTCTTGTGTTTCAGGTTCCAGTGGAGTGGATGATGCTCATGTGTTCATCAGTTCTGGTGAAGATGTCCGTCTGCCCTGTAATAATGCTCTTCATGACTGTAACTCAACTGTATGGGACTATTACAGTTATTCAGCAGCACTTGAACTGATTTATTTGGGGATAAAGAAGAAAGACACAGAGAGACATGAGAGACTGAGTCTGGGGCCTGACTGCTCTCTGAACATCAGGAACATCTCAAAAGAAGATTACGGATCTTACATCTGCAGACAATATGTGAATGGAGAACAACAAGGAACTGATGTTCGTGTTGATCTGCATGTTCTTCATGGTAATTTTATGATTATGTGGTCAATTTAAAAAGGCGAATTTCTTAATTTAAGCTCTCCTGATAATTAAAGAGTCTGTGATTTGTGTGTTATTTTGTGTTTCAGTCTCATCCTCACAGACTGAGATCAGTGCAGGCGGCTCTGTGACTCTCTTCTGTCAGTTGTGTTCATATGCTGGAGACTATTGTGATGATTGGATCCATTCTGAGAGAATTGAGCTGTTCTGGGTGAATCAGGCTGGTGTTAAACTGACGAGATCAGACTCCAGATATCAGATATTACTCTCATCAGGTCACTGTATCATCACTCTGAATACAACACTCCTGAATGAAGATCACAACAGAGAGTGGAGATGCAATGTTACTCAGAGAGATAAAGTCAAGAGCTCAGTCACATACACTGTCAAGAGTTCAGGTGAGAAAACAAGCTCATCAATCAGTTATGGAAGAGTTTCTGTTAGATGTGCAATTATAATACTAATGCTAAAGTTATCTTGTGTGATTAAAATATGATTGTCATAATCTACAGTTGTCAATCTAAGCTGAACTAATATTGATCTTTCACAGCTCAAGCTGATTCAGCGACAGCAGTGACTCCAGTCCACAGCACACACTCTCAGGATCCCTCGACTACAAACACACACGTAACTAAAGGTACATCATCAGTGTCTTCCTCACACCAGTGCTTTACAGCGGCTCTCAGATACTGTTTTCTTCTTAAATCAGTCTCTAGATATAATGAATTCCTCTCTGAAGACATTAAGAGATGGAGTACAGGCAATCACCAACTGTTCACTCTCAGCTCGAGAAACGGTTTATTTGCTGGTTTATTCTGAGCTCAAAAGAGTGCGAGAGACATTAATACACTGATGCTGACTGTACACACTTTGAGTACAGTTACATTGTGTCAGGAGCTGACTAGCAAAATACTACAGTAAAAGTAAAGTAAAGAAGTTTGTATTCATACTCAAAGAGCAAACACACTACAGAATAATAAAAAAGTAGCTCAATTGACTGCATATCTGCTAAATTCTGCTGATCTTTACAGTTTTTAAAAAATGCTTACACGGTATTTGAAATTAAGGCTCCATTTGTCAAAACTCTACACACAAAACCACAAAACACACACACACACTCTCACACACACAGCAGTGAACATGAACACACACACACACACACACAGTGAAAATGCACACACACACACACACACAACAGAAAACAATACACACACACACACACACACACACTCTCACACACACAGCAGTGAACATGAACACACACACACACACACAGTGAACATGCACACACACACACACACACAGCAGTAAGTAATGAACACACACACAAAACAGAAATACAATACAATAGTAGAAAATGGAGTAAACAGCAGTGAACATGCACGAACGCAATAAGCAGTGAGCACGCACACACACACACACACACACACACAGCAGTAAGTAGTGAACTCGCACACAAAACAGAAATACAATACAATAGTAGCAAATGGAGTAAACAGCAGTGAACATGCACGAACGCAATAAGCAGTGAGCACGCACGCACACACACACACACACACACACACACAGCAGTAAGTAGTGAACTCACACACACACACACGCACACAGTGAACACACACACATCAGTGAACATGAACACACAAACACACAGTGAACACACACACATGCACACACACACACAGCAGTAAGTAGTGAACACACAGTGAACACGCACGCACGCACACACACACACACACACAGCAGTAAGTAATGAACACACACACACACACAGCAGTGAACATGAACACACACACACACATACACACAGTGAACACACACACATGCACACACACACACAGCAGTAAGTAGTGAACACACACACACACACACACACACACACTTATTAATTAACAGCTGAGTTTACCCTCACATTATTATTCGCTGACTAGCAAAATACTACAGTAAAAGTAAAGTAAAGAAGTTTGTATTCATACTCAAAGAGCAAACACACTACAGAATAATAAAAAAGTAGCTCAATTGACTGCATATCTGCTAAATTCTGCTGATCTTTACAGTTTTTAAAAAATGCTTACACGGTATTTGAAATTAAGGCTCCATTTGTCAAAACTCTACACACAAAACCACAAAACACACACACACACTCTCACACACACAGCAGTGAACATGAACACACACACACACACACAGTGAACATGCACACACACACACACACACAGCAGTAAGTAATGAACACACACACAAAACTGAAATACAATACAGTAGTAGCAAATGGAGTAAACAGCAGTTTTGCCTTGTTTTAAATAAACACTACATTTAAAAGTAAAACTGACTTCATTAGGAAATACACTTTTACTATGGTTAAATAAATGGTCAAATATTGACATTTATTTTCTCTAAATAGAGCTGATATGGCGACCAGTAAATATGGTTTGGTCAGGCTAGCCTGTGTGGAAACTTTTAAACTCTGTTTCAACTAAGCAGGTGTTAGGTTCTGCTCTTATCTCCCCTAATGTGCTCACATACTGTAGATTCATTTCATGGACATTTTTATCAAATTGAATTCAAAGGACTGTTAGAAACTTTAAGTTGTTTAGTTGATGTAATTAAAACTGGGTTTAAATGCATGCCTCTGTTAGCTGTAAAGATCAGGTTTAATGTCGTGCAGCAGAAGAAA